GGCTCGGAGGGCCCGCGGCTGCAGGGGGAGGACGGGGCCGGCCTCCTGCCGCCCCGGGCCTCGGTAACGCCGGTGGGTTGCGGCCCGTATCGCCCTTCGGGTGGCGGCGGGGCCCGGCGGGTGAGGCGTCTCTCCGTGCCGCTCTTGTTTCCGCACCGTTGCGAGCGCCCCTCAAATAAAGCGAGCGGCTCTGATCAAGCGCTGCCTGGTAAAATCTCCCTCACTGATCGCAGAGCCCCCAGATCCGCTGTTTGGGGGCGGGAAAGGCCAGGCGGGTCCCGGCGGTCGCGGGGGGGGGCTCCGGGGGCTCTGCCGGCCCCTGGCCTTTTTCTCTCTTAACGAGCTTTTGCGGGAGGAGCCGGCCTGGTGTGAGCGTGGGTCTCCCCAGAACGTAGCGTAAATGTGATTTTCTGTCATAAAAGCAGCGGAGGGGGAAGGGGCAGAGGTGGAGCCGCCGCCTTTCCTGCTCTCGTCCAGTTCTGTCGCCACGACCCTCCATGTGGTGGCCACCGGCCTCCCCCGTGAGCGCCTCCCGCCGCCGCACCAGCCGGGGGGGGGCTGCGGGGGGGTCCCCGTCACGCTTTGGGGTGACCGGGGCGCTTTGGGGTTCACGTTTGGGCCCGGCTCCCAGCTATCTGCCTCTCCAACTATTTATTTTGCCAAACGGCTCCCCTGGCCTCTCATCAAGCGCCGCTCTTCCCGGCGACTCCCATCCCCTGGATGTTTCCGAAGGCAACGGATGTAAAACAAGGATATTTTCCATCTGGAAAACTTTTGAAAGGGGAAGTTTGAGCCTTCATTTTTCATTAGGTTCCAGCGCGTTATGGCAGATCCTATTTTCTTGTTAATTAGGCGCTGTTCATTTTCTTCACTTCATTACTTGCCGCCGCACCTAGAATTTATATTCATTTGGTTTAATCGTGTTCGCCTGGTTACGTTCTAAACAGTTACTCACTCAGAAAGGAAATTATTACCTCGCTCTGCCAGGACTTCCACTTTGCCTTAATTTCCCTGGAGCCTCGTTTACTTTTCTCCGCTTTTTTCCCTCTCTGGGTCCCCGGGGGCTCGGCTGGGAGCGGCGCCGGCGTTCGTGCCCTGGGGGGGCTGCTCCAAGCTCGGGGACCCCCCAAAGGTGCTGTTGAGCCCCGACGTTGCCCGGTGCAAAGGGCACAAGGAGAGATGGGGAAACTGAGGGTGCCCTGACTTCAGTGGTGGGGTTTTTTTCCCTTTTTCTGTTACTATTTGATGCCCTTCTTGCTCTGCAAAGAAGCAAACTGGAAAGGCAGAAAGTTTTTTGCTTTTGGGGGCAAAAATCTGTTCCTTATCTGCCTGTTTTCACTCTTAACATACAAGCACTCTGAAATACTGCAGAAATTTCAACCAATTCTGCTCTGGAGGCAAAATGAGCCACTGGTCCTCCTCGGGTCATAGCTGGTCCTCCTGCCTCGTGCCTCTTCCTTGGCCTTGGGCTACTCTCTTGCCTTCTGGGCTAGTACCCTGAAACTGTGGGTCCCCGCGTCCCCCACCCGAGGCTCTGGCTCAGCTCCCGCTGTGGCAGTCACCCGGTGGCCACTCAACCTTCTCACCCATCGCCTTTCTGTCCCCGGCACCGGTTGCTGGTGTCACCCGTGCCCTCCCTCTGGCCCGAGCAGTTGTTCAGCTGCCTCCATGGTGGTGCCACGGTGATGGGGCTGCTCCATTCAAAGCAGGAGGCAGGAAGCTGGTGCCCGTGATGGCACCCAGCGATGGAGAGAGCAGTCCCACGGCGCCGCTGGAAATGCTGCTCCTCTCTCCTGGAAGGACGGGCCGTGTCTGTTAATGCAGTAAGAGCTCACCTCACCCCCACCTGTAATTTTAATTATGGCTGTTGGGCACCGGGTGACAGGGAGCCAGGAGGGAAGGGACAGGGACAGCTGTGGGTGCTGCTGGATACACCCAGCTCCGCTCCCTGGCTTGGACTCGCGTCTTTGCCCTCGTGCTCAGGCACAGGGTGAGTTGGGGAAGGTCACCCCGATGAGTTGGGGGGACAGTGGGGCTGGGAAAGACCCTCCCCATCCCATCGACTGCGTCCTGCCCTTCCCAAAGCCCACGCAGGCAAGGGGAGAGCTGGGTCCCTCTCCTCCCACCACAGCTCCAAGCTGTGCCCGCCTTGTGCTGCCGTGATTTCCATCGGGGAGCAGAATCCCCCCAAACCCCTTCACCAGGAAGGGCTGTGAGCGGCTCCTGTCAGGCGGCGACAGAAGGTAATTGTTGCTACAAACTCCTCCGTGAGGGGAATCGTCGTGCTTTTGAAACAGACCATAAAAATCCCCAGCGATGCCGATGTGGGAACAGTCAAACAGCGATCGAAGACGCCAGCGCTACGCGGCCTGGGCCTGTTATTGCCCGAGAAGATGCCGGCAGCTGCCGGCTCCTCGCCTTCACCGCGCCGCGCTGGCGGGCACGGGGGCTCTACGGCAGCAGCGCCGTTAGATTCGGCGTTAATTAGTGAGCGGTGCGGATCCTGCGCTGCCGCCGAGCATCCCCTGGTTTCCAGCTCCGTTCTTGGAGCTGGGCAACGGGGCCGTTCCCGGTGCCGCTTGCCCCAGGGCGTCCCGGTGGCTCCGGGGACGGTCACCCCAAGCAGAGCTGGAGCTGGCAGTGTCACTGACGTGGTTGTCATCTCGTTTCTGGGGTCACGTACGATGACATCTAACGACCTTAGTGAGCCTGTGCTGGTGCCGGGGTCACCCCACAGCCCTAAAGACTTCACTGAGGATTTTTAATTAGATTTTTACCACGAAACTAAAAGGTGACAAGACAGAGAGGAGGCCGAACCCCTGCCTGGCCTTGCCAGCTGCTGTGGAGTGTGTAGGGAACTTGGGGACCATGACTCATTTCAGCCTTCCGAGTCCTTCCCGGGCTGTGTCCATCCCTCATGGGACTCTGTCTGTCCATACAATGAGAAAATTTCCTATTTCCATATTTCTTTTCACCCTTGAACCAAAACCACCCCAAAAGAGCATCTATATGAGCGAGGGGAGGAGGACCTTCAGCAGCAAATGCCACACACTCGCTCTGAAAACCTGCAGAGAATCGAGTTGTGCTGGGTGCTCCAATATTAATTATTAGTAAAAATGCCCAGGCTCACGTATCCCTAAAATGCCTCTCCGTTATGTGGCAGGTCTGGCTGTGATGGAGGGAGAACTGAGGATGCTCAGGGGGTGCTGGAGGAGGATGTTTTGGGGAGCTCATCGTTTCCACCCACCCACCCTTCCCCCTCATCCCGCGTCGGTGCCGGCTCCCGGCAGGTCCGTGGTGCGGGGGCTGCCGCGCTTTGTCAAACCATTTTTACAGGTTTTTGGTCTCAAAGAAGGGCATGACGGCTGAAAGGGAGCAGCAGCTTCTCGGGAGCTCTGCTCGGAGGTGGGAGGATGGCATGGAGGGGATTTGGGGGCCATTCCCATTGCGGGGCTGGGGCGAGCTCGGGGTCACCCCGAGCCTGGGCGCTGGCGCGGTGTGTGTCGCATCAATCCCAGCCTGGGGACACCCTGAGAGCACTCATGGGTTTATTTGCTTTCAGATAAAGGGGTGGGGGCTGCAGGTGACACCAGCGGGGCTTTTTGAGCCCAGACATGCTGCTGTTTCCCTCCCCAGGCCGGGTGCTACCCGCTGGTGGGGGTGCGCCGGCGGGCCACCAGGCTCAGCAAGGCCTCGCAGTCCCCGCCGGTGGCAGTGTCGGGGGGACACGTCCAGACCTCGCTGAACCTCACCTCGAAGCCAGCGCCCTTCACGGCTTCCTCCACCTCGTCTTTCTCCAGGCGGAGGCAGGAGAAGACCACGTTGTTGAAGGTGTAGTAGGTTTCCCGCAGGACGGTGACCATCACCAGGTGCCCCCCCGGCTTCAGGAGGTTGCCCACGTTCTTCAGGGCGCCGCGGAAGGTGGCCAGGTCCTTGCAGGCAGCCTCCAAGCAGAGGGTGGAGACGACGCAGTCGGCGGGTGGCAGGGACACGGGGTCCGTGGGGTTGGCTTTGGTCACGTCACACTTCAGAACCTGCCTCACCTTCTGTCTCAGTTTCTCCTCTTTCTCAGCCCACTTCTCCCTGGCAAGTAAACAAACAAATAAATAGATGGCGGCTCGTTACGTGGTTGTTTAGCATCTGTGGCTTGGTTAGTGGCAGGGTGGTGGGAAGCCATCCTCACCTCTTTCCTTCCAGCTCACAAACGTATTCCACCACCGGCTTCCAGTCGAAGGCTCCCGCTTCCTTCTTCAGCCACTTCTCCAGCTCCCGGCGGTTCTGGTCTGTGTAGTCCAAGGCAAAGATCTCCTGGAAGTGCTCACAAGCTGACAGAAGCTGGTAGATGGTGGGGCCACAGCCGACGTCTATCAGGGTCTCACCCTTCAGCCCCTCTGGCGCGGAGTCGGGGTGGGGAGAGCATCCAGGTGAGGATGGAGCGAGAAGAGACAGAAACCTCCCAGAGCCCCATGGGGCTGTGCTTCCTCCCACCCAGAAATGCCACCCCGAGTGCCATGGTCCCGCATTGCAGCCCCTTCCCCCCGATGCCCAGGACTCTTGGGCAGAAGCCCAGCCCAGGGGCTGCTCCCGCAGGGGGTCCAGAGCCCCAGCCCCCTCCTGACCCCCCATATCCAGCCTGGAATGCATGGTATTTCCAGAAACTGTGGAACAACTCCAGCTGGCAATGCCCCGTGTGTGCAGATATACATGCATGCAGATAGATATATATATTTTTCTAAGTGTATGTGTGTGTATACAGCTCGGTCTGGGGGGGCACGCACCAAGCAGCGCAGGGACAGCCCTGCAAATGGCGTCGTCCGACGCCGCCCAACCCCTCGGGGAGGGGGGACACTCACCCAAGGAGAACATCTTCCACAGGCTCTTCAGGTTCTGCATCAGGAAGGTGTTGGGCTGCCCCTGGCTGTCGCTCAAGTTGTAAAATTCTCTCAAGTATTGCCCCGGGTCGAAGCTCTGCTGGTAAACCTCCTTGCCCGTGAAGGCTGCCGGGGCGCCCGTGCTGCTCAGAGCCATTTTCCTGCTGCTCCCTCCTCCTGTCCGGCTCTGCTTTCGGTTTTACCCTCCTCCTCCCCTTCCTCATCCCTTTGCCAGACACGCCGTCGGTCACTGGCCGGGCTGCCTCTCCCTCTCCGTTTCCCACCCAGCTTTACTTTCTCCATTAATAACTCACCACCGGCCTCCCCCCGGCAGCCCCCACGCCAGGCAGCCCCCCGCACCCACGGCCGTAATTAATGGCCATCCCCGGGATGACATTACAGGGCCCTGGCTTTACAGTAATTGGTGGCAATAAAGGGGGGGCAGCGCGAGGCGGTGGCGCCGGCAGCCCCACAGCTCCGTGAGCCCAACACCTCGGCTTCCTCACAGCGGGAGATTGAAGCCAGAGCCGTCGGTAACTTAACGTGGCAAGGAAGTTTTCAGGCCACAAGCTGCCCCGGCAGAGGACTGACAAGTTCTCCCCTCCGGGAAGGAGGAATCGCATCCAGCCCGTGGGAAGCACCTGCCAAAATTCCTCTTCCATTTCATGGGTTTGGCTCCTTTTATTTTTTTCCAGGTTTCTTCTGGGAAAACTGCAGTTTCACCTCCTCGTGCTGAAAAACACAGAATTGGGAGCCTCGGCACCTGGGTTTTGGCTCCAGAGCCAGCCCCAGACCCCGTGCCCTGCCACCCTGCCTGCACCCTGCCTGCACCCGGGGGTCCCTGCCTGCACCCTGCCCGCCGGGGGTCCCTGCCCACCCCTCAGCCCCCCAGCAGCCCCTCTCCCACCGTCCTGGCTGGCACGGAGGGGACACGGTGGTGGCACGGAGGGGACACGGTGGTGGCCGCCTCCTTCGCCGTCGCCGCCACGAAGAGGCAGCAGAGCCCCGCGCTTCCGTTGGCGACGGGTCCCCGCAGCAGCTCGTCCCCTTCCCGCTCGCCCAGCAGGAGCCAAAATGATCAAACGGTTTCGGGCTCGTTACCGGCTCCGAATCTATATAATTGGCCTTTGCTTTTTTGAAGATCTGTCACGAGGAGTGACAGGCGGAGGAGCCGCCGTATCAGCCTCAAGCTAATCAGCGCTATTTTAGGTCCCGAGGTGATGCTCTGAACAAACCCTCTCGCCGCCCCACACGCACAGCCGGCCCTGCTGGGGCCAAACCCAAGGCTGCCCAAGAGGGAGAGCCAAAAAAGGATGTCAGCTTGAAAGATGAAGGCGTTTAAGAGGTTTTCTTCTGAGAGCAAAGCCAACAACAAGTGCTCCCTGTGACTCCGGAGCTGTGGCTGAAGTGGTCTCTAAAGGCACCGGCCCCATGAGAGCCCCCCAAGCCATGGCAAGCAGAGCTGGGGGGTGAATTTGCCACCAATGTCAGCCCCCGAGGCAGAGCACAGGCATTCCCAGCCTTCCTGCTGGAAGCACTAAGACAAATCCTCTGGATGCCAGGGGTTCTGTCCCTGCCACCTGAAATCTCAGCACTGCAGCAGGAATGGGAGGCAGAGGCAAATTTGCCCCCCCCCCCCCG